CAGTACTCAAGGTTATATTCGTTGATATAATATCCAAAGCAAAACAAATACAATCAGTTTAGCTAGCAAAAATTATTCCGATCAAAAAACACATCTTAATTCCAGTAATCAATTAAAATATCAGAGAATATTGGTTCTTATTACCACACTTTTCCTAATAAGTTATTTATTAAATTCTTTAAATGTGTGTAGATTATACCGAAAATCAGTATTCGAGAAATTCTCATTTACAACATCAGTTTCACAATCAGTATTTGGTAGAAGAGAAGCGAATTCACCATAATTATCACATCATCTCCCTATAGTAGTAATTTGATACATGTTCCATTTATTGAGATATTCTCGGAAAGGTAATTTTTTAAACAATAAGTAAACAACGCAAAAAATAACGAATTTATCAGACAACCCTATTTTACTCCAATATCTGATGGGAATCACTTGAAAAGACTCCTTCCTTCTCATACCTCCACTGTTGTATTACAGTATAACGTTCACAATGCACAATAATTACTTGAACATTGCTTCTCTTTCAATAGAATAGTAATTGATATCTATGTCTGGTTTCTTCTTTTACCACGACTTTCACGATCAAGCTTCGCTTTTTACTTTCTACAACCATTCTGTTGAGTTTTCTTCGATCCATATCTCTGTCTCTTTCCTCAACTGCTCGACTTCCTTCTATAGCCTTTGGTTTTCAGACTAAAGCTCTTCTATTTTATTCATCTCTTCTTTTTTCATATTTTCGATTTCACCTTTCGGGGATAATTGTTGCTTATGTTTATTGATATCATTCTCGCGGCTTTGAACTGCTTTTAGAAAGTCTGACAATGAGACATAAAGTGATGTTTTGTCAGTTTTCTTTTTGTAGCTTTACTTATATTTTAAGTATTTGGTGGTGTTCTTTCTATTTCGATTTATATATTAAAATTTTTAGGGAACAACTAAAGATATAAGTTAACAATTTTTAGTAAATGATTTTATTGTCTTCTATGAAGACTGTTTAGAAGATCAAACACGAGTTTTGCTTTCGCTCACTATGTAATGCTCTTAAAAATTGATTTTAAATTTATTCCTCACGTACTCCAGCATAGGAATGAAAAAAGAACTATGATCTTATGCTGACGTAGTGTCTGGAAATCGATTACAAGTTAATTTTATAGGTTATATTCTACAATGTATAATTTATTAAAATGAATAAATAAGTAAATTAAAAATATTTATTAAAACATTTTATTATTTGTCAAGAAAATTTAGAGTTCTTTAATGGATAGTAATCCATACGTTCTAAAAATAAGTATAGTATACTTTTAAGCGCTTTGGTTTTAAGTTATTTT